TCCTCTTCATCCCTCTCGTCATCACCCTTGTCTTCGAAGCGACCTGGCTCTGTTTCATCATGCTCCTCCTCTTCCTCCTCTTCCTCCTCCTCACCAGCGTCATCGGCGACCTTGCTGGCCTTGCCTTCCTCCTCTTCCTCCTCATCAGCATCGTCCTAGAGGGACCAAAAGGCACCGATATCGCTACTCCCCGGACCTCTCCACTGGTGCGTTCTCACAAGAAGTTGGAAGCGAACTCAGCCTTGCTGACGAGGGACGGGCAGCGGTATCCGCACCTTGTCCTCCCCTGACATCCTCCTCTTCTTGCTCTTCCTCCTCTGTTTCCCCACCTTCGTCTTCGGCCACCTTCTTGGCCTCTCCTTGCTCGTGCTGGCCACCAGCGCTCTTTGCCTCCTCACGTCTGGCCACTTCTGCCTGCACTCCGGCGCCCGTGACTGGGTCGAGCAGAGATGCGCGCTTCTCCTGCGGGAGGGCGCTCTGGACTTATACGTCTGTACCGACCTCGGCCAAGCCCAGCCTGGGCACAGGATGGGCCTGGCCAGCGACGGTTAGGTGTATAGTCCAGTGGAATAAAGCACCATGAACATAAACCTCTCAAACTCCGTGCGGATTTCTTGCATCGGCGCTGGACCCCCTCCCTGGCGCGCGAAGTCGCCGGAGCACAGCACCAATGGAATAGATCTGCGCGGACCTCCGAAAAGGCATGTGTCTGCATGTTTTCCGTGCTGACGAGAACTTCGAGGCGAATCCTGCAGTGGCGACGAGGGCCTCCCAGGAGGCCCAACTTGAGGGACCCACGGGCCTGGTAAGAAGCATGAGTCAAACTTTCCCTGGCACGCGTGCTATATGACCTATACGGCCACCATTTGTGGGGGGGGAAAGAGCCAACTGATGGCAATCTTTAGGGGGAAAACAAACCTACCTCGCTTTTGACCACCCTCGCTTCCAAGAGGTACCAAACGATGCCAAATTGCAGCCTGTACTGGTCAGGCCGCTTGACGAGGAGGAGCGTGGTATGGCTTGGTAATCCACGCTCTGAATCTTGGGTGTTACGATGAGGACGATGCGGGCGATGCGCCATCGGAGTGGCGACGATGCGCGGTGATGATGCTGGTCGCGGCGAGTGCTGGCAGAGCCTGGCGGGGCGCCGCTGGCACGGGGTCGTGGGCGGGGACGTGGGCGGGGATGTCCGCTGCGTCGACGTCGGCGGGAATGCCCTCGGAACGATAGCAGACTTGCAAGGCCCCGCGCAGTTGCATGGCGCGAGCCTCGGCCGCTTGCAGACTCTCTGCCACGTCTCGCCCTCGCGCGATCCTCGCACACCAGGGAGCGTCGGCGGCCGGCGCCGCGGACAGCGCGAGCCAACGGGAGGCCACGTCCACCGACCGGTCGCGCTGCGCCTCCGGGCCCCCCGCGCAGGGGGCGTTCAACTCTGCAGGCACGCGGTAGCAGCGCACACGCGAACATCCTCGTCGTCATCCCAATCCACTGCGAACTCTTCCAAGAGAACCCCCCTCCGCATCGCCACCTCCCGGCTGAATTGGCGACACGGGTGGCGGCTGCTCGGGCGCGGCCGCAGGCGCCATGGGCATCGGTGCGCGGGCAGAGCCTGGCGCCGAACCACTTGCTTCCTCTACGTCTGGGCAACTATCTGCGTTCGCAGAGGTGGCCGCGCTGTGGGCAGGATGCGGCAACGCCTTGGCAGAGCTGGCAGAGCCAGGCTCCTGCTTCGGGATCGGCGCGCCCACTTCCGCAGCCTGGGGAATAGAAGGCGCCGTGTGGAGAGGATACGGAAACGCCTTGGTAGAGCTGGCAGAGCCTGGCTCCAGTTTCGAGCTCGGCTCGGCCACTTCTGCAGCGCCTCGACTCCGCTTCGGAGACCACCAGCACGGCGGCAGCCCATCTGCCACCAAGCCGGCGCCCACCCTCGCCAGCGCTTCCGCACTGCAAGCGCGCGCGCTGTGGCAGGAAATTGCTGCCACAGACTGCGTGGAGCAGGATCCGCCACGCCTCTGCATCCATGCCCTGTGGCGGCTCCTCGATGCACGCCGTGACCGTCCAAGGTGTTGCGGGGACCTTAGTGTGCTGGTTGCGTGCGAGCCCGAACTCAAGCGGTTTGCCGGGATGTCCCTGTACATAAATCAACGCGTCCTTCTCCATGTAGTGGTCACCGACGTTGTTCTGGGACGCTTTCGCTAGATGCCACGATACGCGCTCCACCCTCGGAACCTTGCCAAGTGCATCGAGGAGCTGCTGGTCCACACGGACACAGTTAATCGCGAGCTCCACGAACCCCGCTCGGGAACTCTCGGCGTACTTGAACCGCTGTTTCTGTCACCGCGAGCCACCGTACTCGGCACCGCTGACAAAACCTGGCGAGGAACGAGAAACAGGGTTCTGTAGGGCACCGTGGCAACTCGCGGTGCAGTGCACTCGCGCGATGCGTCCGCGCACGTTCGTCTTCAGAGTTCAGAGCAGTGTCGTATATTCGCACGGTTGGCACTCCAGGTATGGTGTGTTAGCACGATGTGGGATTGTCTGGGCGAAACAGTTACTCCAGATTTCGTAATAAAAGGGAGGGGGTCTCGACCCTCCCAGACGAGAAGTTTTAGACCCCCCCCCCGTGGGAGAACCCTCCAAAACATCGTCCCCAGACCCCCCCAGGCCCTCCAAGATAGCCTGGAGGAGACCCCCCCCGAAATGAGACCCCCCTCCCTTTATTACGAAATCTGGAGTACATTGCTTCGTGGTGTTGTCGTCCCACGAGCGGCGATCTAGCACGACCCAAGATCGTCAAGACGAGACAGTAGCGTTCACTCGCGGCGTTGGAATCCCGAGAGTGGTGTTTTGGTGCGGTTCAGAATTTTCACACGGTTGTTTTCCATCGGGGCACTTCCCTGAATGAAAATGGGTCCTTGTAAGGACCTATGAAGAGGACGCCTGGGCGGAGGGTAGGTTGCATCATCGTTGATGAGTTTCGGGTGCACCACCTCCTCCTCCTCCTCCTCCTCCTCCTCTTCCTCCTCCTTTTTGCCCCTCCCCCTCCCTCGTCCCTTCTCCTCCTCGTCCTCGTCTCCTCATGCTCCCTCCTCCTCATCATCATCATCATCACCATCCTCATCCCCATCCACATCCTCATCCGACTCATCATCCTCATCCTCAGCCTCCTCATTATCCGCTTTCCTCATCCCTCCTCCCTCCTCCCTCCTTCCCCCTCCCACATCGTCGTCCCCCTCCTCCTCCTCTTCCCTCCTCGTCCTCCTCCTCCTCCTCCTCCTCCTCCTCCTCCTCCGGTTTCTCCTTCTCCCCCTCCTCCTCCGCCCCCTCGTCATCATCAGCATCACCATCATCACCATCATCGTCGTCATCAGCATCACCGTCATGATCATCATCATCAGCATCATCATTATCATCATCATCATCATCAGCATCATCATCATCATCATCATCATCAACATCATCATCATCATCATCATCATCATCATCATCATCATCATCATCATCATCATCATCATCATCGTCAACGTCAACGCCAGCAGCATCATCATCACCACCACCACCACCACAACAATCATCACCATCATTACCATCATCCATATCATCATCATCATCATCATCATCATCATCATCATCATCATCATCATCATCATCACCATCATCACCATCATCATCATGACCTGCTGTTTCGTCCGGCGGATAACTGACTTCTGGAAATGACTGCTCGCTGCAATCAGCGGGCTGCTCCTCCATAGCCGATTGACGAGGAAAACGGCCTCCTCCCGAGAACAAGCACCGACAAGCAAAGTCGAACTGGTTTCGACCCGAGACTCCTTCCTGTGCAGGACGGGCGGGCGAACCAAAAAGGGGCTTTGGTCGCAGCGGGTGCACGCAAGAGAGAAGCCCGACCACCGCTGCTACAAACCTGAAACGACACCCCTCGCCCCACTAATCACGTCCGTGCTCGCACCCCCATGATATGCTGTTTCGTTCGGCGGAGAACTGAGTTCCGGAAATGGTTGCTCGCTGCGATCAGCGGGGTGTCCCTCCACAGCCGAGGGGCGAGGGAAACGGCCTCCCCCCGAGAACAAGCACGGACAAGCAAAGACGAAGTGGCTTCGACCCGACACTCCCGAACCCCCTTACACAGGGTACACATTATAGATGGAGGCTCTCGCAAGGCAAGGGACACGAGAAACCTAGCGAGCGCGCGGTTAACACCGCCAGGCCTCTTGGTGGCTAGGATTGCGCGGCTTATGCCGTCACTGCTCCTACCTCTGAACTGCACGTGTGGGAGCCCTGTGCTATCGCAGATTTCTGTGCGACTGCGGCACGCACAATGGAGTCCATCCACGTCTTCGGGCTCGAGCCCAACAGACATGAAAGTGCAGCGGCACCTCCGAGACGCCCCAAACATGAATCTATCACTAGTGAATTTATGAACACAGGCGGCAGGCAGGTCCTCAGTACTAGACAAGAGATGTGACCACACCCGACCCCCGCCTGGCATCTCAAGGACAAACGGAATTCGAGCTCTCCAACACTTTCTAGCAAGGCGACTCAGTCTTTCGGCAAACCGTTTCACCCTGCAGCGGTTGCATCGGTTGCCGCTTGCCTTGCTAGCACCCGGCAGCGTGGGCGAGACAAACAGGAGCAACGCCCCCTCCTATCAGCAGCGCTTTGCTCCGCGCGGCGAGGGCTGGATGCCACCTGGCAGCAGTGCCGCGCGGCCCCACAGCAAGGCGGGCCCCCGCCCGCGCAGGCGCTGCTCGCCGCCGGCCAGAAGCGTCGGGTTGTGGATCTGCGCCCGCTGCCCCAGCCGAGCGCTTTTCTTGTGCCCGGCCAAGTTTTTTAGCTGCAGCTATCCTCCGTGGCGCTGCACTTCCGCCTGGCTGCGCTCGCCTCTGGCGCGGTCGATGCTCGCTCCCGGGCGCTGCCCCTGGGGCGACGATGTCCGCCGTAGCTGATGCGCACAGCGGGTCTCCTTCATTTGGCGCAGGAGATTGGGGCCGTCAAACTGCCGCACTGTCCGCTGGGGGCTCATCCTCTGCAGCGCTGCCAGAACAGGCCCGAAAAACAACGGCCACGCCGAGTCCAGCTCCACGCCCAGGTCGCATTTCCCAACCTGGCCTGGCGTTGCCCACTCCTGCGGGCGCATGAGCAGCCCCTAGCGGCGGCCCCCACCACGCGGCTTCACGACGCCCCCAGGGGGCAACCTGAAGAGACAGGACGGCCTTGCGCACGTCGAGACCGCCAGCGCAAGAAAGACTGCCATCACGCGGTGGCCCATCAGTACCAGGCCAAGCATAAGGACGCCCCAGGTAATCAGCGGCCCTGACATCCTGGCCCGGACGCGAAGGTGGAGCGAGGTGAAGTAATGAACCAGACACGCGCCCATCGTCTCCGAGGGCAGCTCAAAGAAGTCCTGGTGGCCACCTCTCTCCTTTACCTGCTCGAGCACCCGATAGTACTGGGCTCGCCCGCGCGGCGGTGCAGCGCTCGACTCCAGGCAGCGGTCGATCATCGCGTCGATCCCGATCGCTCGGACGTCCGCCTGGCGCCTTCGCCTCGCCCGTCTCGATTGCATCCGCTGGCGCTTGGAAGCGCTGGCGGCCTCTGACTCGCTGGTAGTGCCGCTCGAGCTCGCTTCGGCTGATCGAGCCTGCCTTCCACTGACGCGCCTTCGGGCGTCGACAGCCTTGGGCCCCGATGCCGCCTCCACGCCCACTGGCAGGGCAGCGGCCGTCTCGCTGGCTGTCGGTCTCGGCGACGCTTGCGCCCGCCTGCTCTCTGCGGCCCCCGAGGCCTCGGCCCGCGCCCGCGCTCTCGGTCGGGGCCCCCGCGCGGGCGCCCCGCTAGAGCGCGCTCTCGCCGCGCCTGCGGCATGCGACTGCAGCCGATGGCTCACTCAGACGGCTTCGAGCCAAAATGCCAACGGACGACATCGAAGAATTAGTCGGCCCTATACGGCCACGAGCGCTCACGTCTTCAATATAGTTTATCTCATTCACACAAGCCTCATCCGACTTGAAACCTGAATCACATAGCACGCACATTGCCGACAGCGCGGTGGTTTCAAATAGCGCGCGCAGACCTTGGGGGGGGGGGCGAACAAAAACCTAAATCTCCACGCCCATCCTCACCCCCAGGGCTGGGAACAGGAGGAAGAGAAGAGGCAGGCAGGGAAACAAAGATAAGACGCGTGAGAATCCTCGAAGGCTCGCCACACCCGGCCCCTCAAATTCCGACTCGAAAGACAGGCCGTGGAAGTGCGAATCTGTCTCACGATCGCAAAACTTTGACACCGAGACCCATTGAAAGCTGGGGTTATTCCAAGGTTGTCAAACAATCGAACCCACCTCGCATCGAAGCCGAAACGAGTGCAAGCAACGCGTTCTAGCGACATCGCGAGCGCTCTAGATTCAAGTATGCCGACGTGCCCACTATACCTCCAGGCCCCCTGCCCTGCGCCCCGCAAGAGTTGATGGGGTGGGAGCTCGCTGGGCACCTCGCGGGGATTGGGGCCCATCTGGTTGTCTCCTTTGGGCAGCGTGGTTTCCGTCCGGAACTTCTCGCCTTCGTATACCCAGAGCGTTGCGCCTTCCCCCTTCGCCGTCGGGAAGTCCCCGAGACCCGCGGCCGTCAGGGCCGAGCGGCGAGCTTCGACCCCGTCCTCCTTCTTGAACCACCTCCTCTCACGACGACGGCCGACGACATTGAGAGAATCGAGATCCCAGAAGCTCCATGCGATTCCACGTCCACTTTCGGAGGCGTCCGAACACTGCACCCAACGATTATAAGGCAACCACCAGTCGGAGACAATCATCGGTAAGAGCCCACGGAATGTAATCAATTCTCCTCCACAACTCGCACGGAGCGAACCTGACTCCTCCTGCATTTTCGCGTCGAATCTGCAGCGCGCGTGAAACACAGACAGCGCGGGCCGCCGCGCGAGCCCCAAGCACGTGCAGCGCCCAAGCAGAACCCGGAGATCGTCGCCCCGCACGGCACGCAGCGGCAGCACCCCGCCGAACGCCTGCCGCACCCTCCAGAGCCGCTTCGGCGCGGGCCGCACCCAGCACTTCTGGCCGTCCAGTACGACCCCCAGCACCTCGATCCCATCGCTGCGCGCCTCACGCCCGTGGACCTTCAGCCCCACCGCCTCGAACGCCTTCACCAGCTCGTTCAGGCCGTGACCGATGACCCCCCGTCCTGGCCGGTCACGCCCACGCTGCCCACGCGCACGCAGTGCTCCACCCGGTCTGTCCCGCACGCAAGCCTTAGCGCCAACGGCTTGCCCAAGTCGCTCAGCGGGGCGCCGTCGCGCAACCTCGAGGCGGCCTGGCACCTGAGCTTGGTCACGCTCTGGCGCAGGCGCAGGCTCCACGCGCAGCCCATCGGCAGCGCCTCGGGGATCGGGTAGACCAGGTCGTCGGATCGAACTGCGCCTGCTGGCCCCCCAACATGGCACCGCGCGACCTAACGTCGCCCGCCTTGGCGGCGGGTAACCCGAAGAGCCGCTTCACCCAAGGGGGTGCCCGCACGCGGTGGAACGCGCCCATCACGTCCGCGACGCCCATCGAGAACTCCACGTCCGCCAGCGCCGCCTGCTGAGCCGCCGCCAGGCAGCCAATCGCGCCCCCCAGCTCCTCGAACTCGAAAGCCGACAGACCCTCTGCCGTCAGCAACTGCACTGACGGTGGGCTAATCAGCCACGCATTGGTTCGCCGACAATCAAGAATCATGCGCGTCGTCTCCCTTTGTTCCACGCAGAGAAGATACCTACCATCTCCCAGACCTGGCGCGCGAACGATGCCAGCCCGCCCCCGGCAAGGTCCCACGCAAAATCACCGTACCTACGTCGGCTCCGCACCGGCGTCGGCTCGCTGAAGGGAGTCCGCGGACAGCGCTCCAGCACCTGGCGCACACTCTCACGGTCTCGCAGCATACGCTCGCCCTGCCCCCCACGCACTGGCGCGCTCGCCCCTGCAGAAGTTCCCACAGCGCAGGCGCCTCATCCCTGCAATCAGGGAGCGACGGAAGCCCAGGTCGGTAAGGGGCGAGCACATCCTCGGGAGGACCACCCAGGCACGGCGATCGCCCACGCATCAACTCTCGCGAGGATGAATGCGGCCGTTGCATCACCATGCCCAGCATCGGCTGCACGACGTTGCCCACCTGCCCCTAGAACAGGATGTTGCATGTCCGACAACGGACCTGTAGAAGACCCCACAAAGGCCCCCGCCAGCCAGTTGAGGCTCTGCACCGCCTCGTTAAAAAGTAGATCGCATAGCCGCCGCCGTCGCGTGCGACTGCCACTGTGGCCCGATGCATGTCGGGTCGCCCACGTCTCCTTCAGCGGCAGAGGGAACATACCGCGAGCCCCGTCACTCGATAAGGGCCCAGGAAGTCCTTCTGAGGCGAAGCCACTGGCAAGACCACGTCCAGCGGCCGAGCAGTCAGGCGTTATCTGCCTCCTCCCGACGCGCCCGCGTCGGGAGGACTCTTTAGCCCCTCCCGGTTCTTCGGCAGCTTCTCCTCGTCGCCCCTGCCGTCGCCCATCGGGTCCCTGGTAGCGCCCATCAGGCCTCGCGCCCGCGCCTTCAGAAACTCGGCGTCCTCCTTGGCCTGCTTCGCCCCGAAACCCAAAAGCCCTGGCACCACCGCGTCGCCTCCAGTCACCGACGGAGACCGCCCCCTGGTCGCGGCGCTCCTGGGCGCCCCCAAGTTTCTCCACCGATCCTGGGCCCAAACGGTCCTTCCCAGGGTCCTCCACGGCGGTGTCGCTGCGGGGGGTAGACGTGCCCAGAGCTCGTTGCAGCCATGCTATCTGCTCGCTGGCTCCCCGCGGCACGTCTTTCAGCACGACGCCGACCACCCGACAAACCTCCGAGTCAAACACGTTCAGCACGCTTGAGCCCTGAGTCGGGCTGCCGACCGTCAAGTACATCCCCTCACCGATGGACTGGCCGCCTCCTGGCTCCACCAGCACCATGACGGAGTCATCAGGACGCGCCCCTGGAAGAGCCACTCCTCCGTCATCGCGGCACTCACGCAGTGTATGCCGAAGGTCTGCCCGATGGCCCGTCGAGCCCACGAAGTGCTTAGGCCAGTCGGCCCCCGCCACCCCGCCCGCAGCCCCGATGTCGCGGCAGCTCGTTGCCCACGCGACGATGCGGTTCACGGGCGTTCTCTCTCGGAACATGTACAGCCGTCGTGATCCCAAGGGCGGGTAGCCGACGTCGGGAACAGGTCTAGGTCCACCCGGTCCGTAGTCTCGGTCCAGGCCGTCCACGCGCTTCTTCCAGAGGTCTCCATCAGACGACAGCACCCAACAGATCGACTCCTCGACGGCAGTCCTGTCACCCGTTGCCTGTCGAGCGGGCCAGATCATCAGTCTCACGTGGTCTACATTGTCGTCGGAGTAGCTGACTCTCGTGCGCGTCGCAGCGGCCGATCTAGTCCAGTTCCCCTGCTCCTCGGCGCCGAGGCGCAGCAGGGCGAACCCGACCGCCATCCTGCACACCCACGACGGTCTCGGCGCGGCGCCGCCTGCAACCGACATGGCACAGCGCTCCGCCAATCAGCTGGCCCAGCACCCACTACCGCGCCCCGATCCCCAGAGGTTGCTCGTGCTCTTCCCGCGGCCTTGGCGGCGGGCAGACCTGCGGCCGCGCTGCGGGGCAGGTGGGCAGCTCGCCCTCGAAGCCCGCCGCGGGCGAGGGCACAGGCGCGGGGGGCGGCCCGCCCGCCGACCGATTGCGGTCGGCCTCCAGCTCGAAATCCCAGGCCTCGCGCGCGAGAGGCTCTTCGCCGAGGTGAGCGATCTGCAACCAGAGAATCACCCACACTGGGAGGTTCGGCGGGACATGGGCGACGACCATGTCTCCTCGAAGCAAAAAGGGGCTTCGGTCACAGCGGGTGCACGTCAGAGAGAAGCCCGACCACCGCTACTACAAACCTGAAACGACACCCCTGTTCCCACGAATCATGTCCGTGCACGCACACCCATCATCATCATCATCATCATCATCATCATCATCATCATCATCATCATCATCATCATCATCATCATCAGCATCATCATCATCATCATCATCATCACCATCATCATCATCATCATCATCATCATCATCAGCAGCAGCAGCAGCATCATCAGCAGCAGCATCATCATCAGCATAATCATCATCAGCATCAGCAGCAACAGCATAATCAGCAGAATAAGCATCATCGTCAGCAGCATCCGCATCAACAGCAGCCGCATCCGCATCAGCATCAGCAGCAGCATCATCATCAGCAGCGGCAGCAGCATCCTCATCCTGGGGGCAGGCAGGCGTACCGTTGGCGCCCTCCAATCCTGCGCCAGCTCCCCCTCCAGGTCCGCGGCGGCCTCCAGGAACTCGGCGTTCGAGGCCTGCAGCTCCGCGAGCGCAGCCGCGGGGCAGAAGGCAGGCGCGGGCGGCTCGCCAGCTTCGGCCTCGGCCTCGGCCTCCTCCTGTGTGGTGCCGAGGGTGGAGGGTCGAAGAGTCGTCTGTGAATCCATACGGCTGCATGCCCTCAGGCGCGAGGGCCGCGGTGAGGGAAGGGGCCTAACAGTCCTCTCCCTCTCGTTCTGCCGGCTGTGCGGGAAGGCCAGCTTGACTATCGTGCCACCAGTGCTGTAGTGGTGGTACGGGAGGATCAAAGGGAAGGGGGAGGAGGAATCGGAGGAGGAGGAGGAGGAGGATCGAGGATCGAGGATCAAGGATCGAGGATCGAGGATCGATCGAGGATCGATCGAGGATCGAGGATCGGAGAGGATCGGAGAAGATCGAGGGTCGAGAAGGATCAAGGAACATCGAGAATGGGACATCGATGAAGAGGATCGAGGATCGGGGGGGATCGAGGATCGAGGATCCAGAAGGATCGAGGGGCAGAAGGCGGGGCGCGGCGCCGCCTGCGGGGGCTGCCTCCCCCTGACGGCACAGGGGGGTCAGGTCCCGAGGTGATATTCGCAAGTTCGGATGAAGGCGAGGACGAGTGTGGGGCAACGTTACAGCCAGGCTGCTGAAATAAGGCGCACTAAACAAGGAGCGAAGCCTCTCTTTGGTCGGTGCACGACGAGCGCTGGAGGAACAGCCATGGCAGGACCTAAGGAACATCGAGCCCCTTTCCGAACCCAAACTGTTCCTTACTTCGGCGTCTTGGCTGTGGGGGGGGATAGGCTCAGGATAGGTTAGAAACTGAGGTTTTTGGGCGTTTCGTCTGATCTCGGCGGTTTTCCGGCCTCGGGCTGCTCTTCAGCAGCCGCGCCTCGCCGAGAGCGTTCTGGGATTGCCCAGATAGTCCCGAACTGCCGCCAGAGGCCCCAAGGTATGGCCGAAAACCAAAGGGGAAACGTCAGGGGGGATGGGCTCGGGGGGGATACATCGACCCCCAATCGCCCGTTCGGATGAGGACGAGGACGAGTTCGGATGATGATAGATCGGGAACCTCTGGGCCTCCTGGAGGCTTCTGGTCGCCACGGCTGGATCCACTTCGAAAAACGGGTCAGGATGGACTCTGGGAAGGGTCCGGGGACTGCTTTTGAGCGGATTTGGGCCAGCCAAATGAATCGCCAAGTCAGCCCGAGTGGCCTCTTCCTTCAGCCGGGGCGAAGCGTTCCGGGGGGAACCAGGCCCCCAGATCTCCAACGATGTGATATGTTCGATCCTGGTGTTTGTCCTCGAGTTCGGCCTCCAGGGCACGTTATCTCGACCCAGAGCCATCAGAAATGTATCCAGGACGAGGTACTGCCCCCGGGGAAGCGGTTGGAATCTCTAGGGCCGCAGACTGAAAAACACATCGACGGATGTCTGGGTTGCAGAGGTTCGACGCTTCCGGGCGTTTTCGTCGGCTCTCGGCGGTTTCCTAGCCTCGGGATGCTCGCCAGCAGCTGCACCTCGCAGAGAGCGTACCGTGGGTGCCTGGATTCCCGAACTGCCGCCAGAGGCCTGAGTTGTGGCCAGAAAGCCACTGGGGAGGAGGGCATACAGCCGAACGTATGATCCAGAAAATTGTCGTGTAAGAAATATGTGCAAACTTTCCGGAGGTTTCCTAAAACAAGCCTGGGCTCGTTTCTGCCGTTGACGCTGGAGGGGCGAACGTGCTCAAGAAACTGGGCCAGCTTTCCCGCAAGTTGGTCAGGAAACGCTGGCCCGGCTTTTTGGAAGGAGGTGTCTGAATCAGATGCTCGACTATAGGTCACCTAACTTCGCGCATCGCGCCCCAGCGATGCGTGGCGCGCGGTGATCCTCGCGCGCCCTCACGGAGGCCACCGTGGGGAAGGGCAGCTCTCCGGCCGAGGCCGTAGCACTACTGGTATAGGTATAGAGCCGACATTTTCTAAGACACCACAAGACTACCGCGAGAACCACGTCTCTGCGCACTGCTTGCCGTCTGACCCACTAAACCGCCAGCCCGCCAATCGACCTCCAATACCTACTACTTGCTTACCGTACATGATTACATCAACTGAATCATAAAGCCATATTTATAACACTACCTATACGACCACCCTTCGGGTGGTAAGGAGGTTGTGGGGGGGAGAGGGGGGGAACCAACATCTGACTCAATCGATCTCACTATCGATCTCGCTCAACGGGACACCACGGGACACCACGGGACACTTGTCGATCTCACTATCGATCTCACTATCGATCTCACTCAACGGGACACCACGGGACACCACGGGCCACCACGGGACACCGCGGGACACCGCGGGCCACCGCCGCACGGGCGGGCAGGGGGAGGATCCGCCGACCCCTTGGGGGTCACGGCGTGTGAGGTGCTTCTCCCTCCCCAAGCCCCTCCCCCGGGAGCCCGGACCGGCCGGTTTGGAGGGGGGGGAGGGCGGGGGGCAGAGGTGTCAGCCGCACCCTTGGAGCGTCAGGGGGCCCCCAAAGGGGCCAAGAGGGCTCACAAAGGCCCCCTGGATGCCCCAAGAGGGCTACGAGTCGCCGAAAGACCGCTCCAAGACGCCCAAGATCGCCTCCAGACGGTCCCAGGGGGCCCCAAGACGCCCCAAGAAGCCACCAAGAGGCGTCCCCAGAGGTCCTCCAGAAGCAAAAACCGCCTCATTTCCTTAGGACAACGTTTATTTTTAGCACATTCGCCTCTTGGGCTTTCAAGAGGCCCACAACGGCCCAAGAAGCCTCTAAAATCGACCCAAGATAGCATAACAGGCCCCCAAGAGGGCTCCAAGATAGCCCAAGAGAGCCCCAAGACGGCCCCAGAAGCTTCCAAAACGACCCAGGAGGGCCCCAGGACTGCCCCTAGAGGAGGCCCAGAAGGGGAACCCGAATGAACATTTCGAGCATTCGGCCCCGAAAAAACCTGAGGAGGCGCCAATCGACCCCCAAGAGGCTCCCACGAGGCCCCCGAGAGGCCCAAAAGAGGCTCCTAGAGGCTTCAAAACAAGCCCCAAGAGGCCTCAAAGTGCTGCCAGGAGAGCCCAGAGAAGCCCAAGAGCAGAGCGGCGATCCGCCAACTGCCCCCGACGAAATCCCAAGAAGCTGAAACCCCAAGATTCCCCAGTCATCGTTCCGCAAACTCCGTTTCTCACTCTAACTGCCGCCCCAAGGGGTCGGCGGTGCCGCGTCAGCAAATGAATAAGTTGTCTCGAACTCGCCCTAGCAACGGCGGGTGGCGAAACGGCTCAAAAGCACCCCAATACGGCCAAAGACGCCCCTCAGAGGCCCCAAGAGGCCCCCAAGAGGCCCCCAAGGGGCCCCAAAAAGCCCCCAAGAGGCCTCCAAGATGTCCTCAAGAAGCCTCCCAATGGCTCCAAAGAAGCCCCCCAAAGGCCACACAGCGACTGGAGTGCAATGTCATTTTTCCAACCTGGGCGAACTGCGGCGCAGCGCCAGCCAGGTGGAAGTTGGTCACAGCGGCGCCCATGATTAGAGCCGGCGCTGGAAGGAAATATGGGGAGGGAGTATGAAAAGGAGGGAGGGGGGAGAGGCCCCAAAGAAGTCCCCAAGAGGCCCAAGGAAACTCCCAGGAGGCCTCCAGGAGGCCCGCAGGAGGCTCCCAAGAGGCTCCGCGACGACGTGACTGTACGTGCTCCGGACGTGCACCCCGCGAAGCGGGAGGAATTCGCCCTAGCAACGGCGAGTTCAGTCGTCTCGCGCGCCCGCGCAGCTTCGCCTCGCCCGCACGCACAACACGAACGAAACGAACCGATTTCCCGGTTGGGGGTCTCCGTTCCACTGCGATCTCACCCCCCAACCTCCGATAGCTACCAGCTCGAGCAACTGGCTACACATGCAGGCGTATACACAATGACCGCCTATACTTACACGATCAACTCAAGGACCCCATAATGCTGCCAACGTGCAACAAAAAACGCTCGCTGAGGCAGGCATCCAGGTACGCGACTTGAGCTACATGAACAAACATATTCGAGCTGTCTTCAGGGTTACATACGGCATGGACGGCAAGATCCAATTCAAGATCGCAGATGGCACGTCCGCGCTAGAACACTACTTCACGGATTTCTGCGACAGACGCATCGACATGAACAAAGCCAAGTGGGCAGATATTACTAACGAAATTCAGATCCACGAAAAGGCCGAGGGACCCCACAACGGGCAATACATACTGGATGGGGACACTGGATGGCGTCGTGCAATCACATAAATCAGCGGTACGATTCCCCTACTACATGCCAGGGGACTCCATACAGGGACTACATCACACTGGACACTTCAACGTCTACACCAACCTTCGGCCATCTCAAGCACGCTATCGTCGCTGAGATCGATGACCAGAGTACCCAAGGTCATGACCAAACACCAGATGAGTACACGCAGATGAAATACATGAACCAACGTACCCAGGAGCTAACAGATGACCTGAAACTTCCTTCTCATCCTACGTTGACGGGTGGATCGAAGTAATTGATCGAGCTGCTGGATCAAAATGGTACACTGGTTATTGAAAAATATCACAGCGCCATGGGTCTCACTTCGCCGATTCGTACAACAAGCGCGGGCCTGCAGAGACCCTGGAGAGGCCGCAGAAGCGCGTACGTGGTGAGCGCTCTTCCTGAAATACTAGCCTACGCATACGAATGTTACTTGAGCACAGTACTTTACATAACTTGTCTGCTGTCTCGACACATACGCTGTACCACAAGTCGTCGTTACATATGTCCTGCCAACCGGACCGACAGGGTGGGCCCTCTCCTATGTCCTGCGCACTTCAGCTTAGTGCTCGGCTTCAGCTGTGGGTGCACCGTGAAGCCCCTTCGGGCCAGCTCACCCGAATCGGATGGTCCGCTCGCACGGATTCTCCCCCTCTTCCTTCGGAAACAGAAACAAGGTGCCCTCGTGGTCCAAAGGGGCTCCCGCGCTTCCCGCCCGATGCGCGCCACGCGCTGCGGCGCAGCTGCGGCAACGCGGCGGCGCGGACAAGGGATCGCTTCGCAACGCTGCGAAAGAGAGAGAGAGGTGTGTATATATATATATATATATATATACACATATATATATAACCAAAAAAAGAGGAACAGGAGGAGGAGGAGGAGGAAAACGGAGGAGGAGGAGGAGGAGGAGGAAGAGGAGGAGGAAGATGAGGAGGGGGAGGAGAAGGACCAGTGTCAACCCAAGGCGCAGAAAAGATGTTGGAATAAGCCCTCCCTTCAAGCTCCCTCTTCATAGGCCCTTACAAGGGTTCATTTCCACTGAGGGAGCTACTTGGTTGGGAGACAACCGTTGGAAAACCCTGAAGCGTCCCAAAACACCATTCTCGGGACTCCAACGCCACGAATCAACATGACGGTTGCGCCTTGACGATCCTGAATCTTGCCAGAATGCCATTCCGAACCCGGCGAATCAACGTAAGTGCTTCGCCCTCGCTATGCAGAGTCATTCAAAATACAAATTCTGGTACGCTGGCACTGGAAATCCACGAAACTCTTAGTGCTTAGGCGAGAATCACATGTTCAAAAGGAAGAGCCCTCAATCCGTGACACTCTTGCAAAGGTTCACAGCGATTGCGCGCGACGCTAAAGCGAGAACAACATTTTGAAAACCACCCGCCCTAGTCCAGATCATAAATGGTGCGGAAGTCTCAAGCGAAGCGCATGGCACGCCTTCTCGACTTGCCTCGGGATGTGACAAGGAGGAATTATGTTTAACGGAAAGGACCGGAAGAAGAAGAGGAGGAAAAAGAGGACCCTTTCTCTTCGTGGCGGTCCTGCGCGACCGCCTCCACGACGGCCGCCCCATCCACCTCGTCGGGCGTCCCGCCGGGCTCCTCTTGGGGAAACAACACGCGCTGATAGGCCGCAACGGTCGGGAACTGTTGACCAGCGTATCGCGGAACGGTCCCGGGGAAACGCTGGTTCAGGGGGGGGCATCGACCCAAGGTCCGTGATACGCTGCTGATAAATCGGCAATACACCCCCGATAGCGAGTCCGCACATTCTTGGGCGGGGTGGGCTATCGGGCCCATATAAATGATGAGTGGGCGATTGAAGGCCGGCGCGTTCTGCCCTGATCCTATCCCCCAGTTCGGGTCATAAGTCGGGCCCCTTGGTAGCCGTTTCAAACGATCTGGGCACCTCTGGAACGCTCTCGGCGAGGCGAAGCTGGGAAAAACTCGAAACGTTGACAGCCGGGGACCCGGATGTGGACAGCGCGTTTCGCCGAGGCGCGATGGGCCACACGTGGGGGAAGACACGCCACCCAAAAAACATCCCGATCGTGCCCTGACCTCTTTCGGGGCGCATAATGACCGAGCCTTCGGGACGAAGCCAACCGTGGCGACTAGGATTTTCAAGGACGAGCAGCGGCAGCGGCACCCATCTCTCGGAACAAGTGGACAGACACATGAAGTAGGAAATAGTTACAGGTAGATTGGAGATCTGCCCGCCGCAGCAAGAGAAAGGAACACAGAACATCACTCAAGGGCCTGAAGGATTTTCAAATCTGGAAATTCAGATAGACGTTCAACTGCCGATGGCGGACAAACAAATATCGACACCGCTTCTCATCAAACTTATCTCATGGTGCGTTCTGACCAAGATTTCAAGGATAATCCAATTTTGGCGACGTGGGCCCTCCATGACGAGCAGCGGCGCCGGCTCCCGGCGCGCAAGTTTATTAAAATTTCGAAGAGAATCCGAAACGAGCCGATCCCTCCCGAGCGCTGCCTTTGAATCGCCCCAACCACCCGAGAAGTCCGACCCCAGGAAGGAAGAAGAGACTAGATAAATGGACGTAAAGGGTGAAAAGGGAAAGAGATTCTCTTCCTGAAGGCGCACGCGCAGCGCGCGGATCTAAGGCGGGCATGTCTAAGCACGGATGTCTAACCAAGGGCACGGGAGCGCCGCGGCCCCCCGCGCCCCCGGGCCAAAACGGCAGCGGGCAGGCCGAGTGAGAGCAGCATAGCAGAGGACCTACCGCTCGAGACTGGTGCTCCAACAAATCCGTCGCGCTTCATATAAGGACAGTGCACAAGGGCGCTCTACGAACCGCCCCGTCTTAAAAAGTTGCCCGGCAGCAAGGAAGATGAGTTCGCCTGAGTTCGGCAAGTCACCTAGCCGAGGGCCCCCACCCCGTTCCAAAGGGCAGGTAGGCCCCCCCACGGCGCCAACTGCAAAAACGCCCCACGGCGCCAGCGGCAGGAATGGGGGCGCCCCCGCCAGAGCCCGGGGAAGTCGCCGAACAAGCTAATCCACCCCCAAACTGAAAGGAGCCAGACAATGAAGGGTCACCACCTCAGATCTGCGAGCTGGCCACACACAATCTGGGCGAGCCTGCTCACCAGAGTGCTGAACTTGTCGCCCCGCCCATCGATGCCGACGCGCGGTCGTAGCTGATCTGGCCGCCCACCGCGCCGAGGATTAGCTCTGGGCCACTGCTGCGCTTAATCATGGGGTCGGCCCGCATATCCCGAGCGTCGCGCCAACGCGCGTCATCGACCTGATCGGCGCGAAGCTGGTCGGGCTAACCACCGCAGGTGGCCTGCCATGCTGTTCTCGAGCGGCGGCCAGATCGGGCCCGCAAGCAAGGCGCTGAAGACGGACGCGCCGTCGATGGCAAGGTCTGCAGGGATTGCGCGGCCTCCTTCGCCCCTCAGTCCCCTGACTTCATCGGCCGAGCCCGGGTCCTGCGCCATCTCTCGCAGCGCGAGGAGGCGCGCCTGCGGGCCGTCAGCTGCGCTGCATGCTGCGAGCAGTCCAGAGCCGAATGGGGATCTGCATGCGAGCTCATGCGATCGGCTGACTGCGCCCAGCAGGTGGCACGCCCGCTTGCCGGCGCGACGGCGCTTTGCCGAGGCGCATGTACACGGCTCCTCTCATGCCGTACCCTGACTCCTCCCCCCTCTTAAAAGATCCGTTTCCGCGCGCGCTGGGTCGCCCAGCGCGCTCCATTCACGCGCGCCTTGGGCTGCATCGCGCGTCGGATGAGCAGCTGGCCCCCGGCTCTCTGCAGGGCGAGAATGCACGCTGCAACGCGGTGCTGGGTGAGCAGGGCGTCAGCCGCTGCTGCCAGGAGGGAGACAAAGCGAACTGGAAGCTGACCTTCGGCCGGCTCGTCTGCCTTGGCCTTGACCAGGTCGCCGTGTCTGTTCGGCATCAGGGCGTCGACGTGCTCGCCCTGGTCGGGCGTCGCGGCGCCATCGGCACTGCGGCGCGAGTGCTCTCCGCAATTCGCGAAGTCGTCACAGCCCCCCTCATCTTGCCGAAGACGTTCTCGGCATGACTGATCAGCCGGTCGACGTGACATGCTTAGACAGCGCGATCACTAGCTCCGAGACGCCGGCAGCGCAGCTGCCGGACGCCGCGCGCTTTACCCAGTCCCAGGCCCAACCTGGCAGGTTTGGAGTTGCACTCGGGCGAGCGCATGATCCAGGCGAGCTGATGGAGAAGGCTCTGGGCGCAAGCTTGCAGCCCGCGCGCGGCTTGATGCAGCGCGGGTACTCGGTCCGCTCGTCGAAGCCCCGTGGCCGGGCACCTGCCTGAGGACGGCTGCACTGCCCGGCGGCAGGATGAAGTTCGCCCCTCGAGGTGCTTCGCCCTGCCCCTGCATCTCTGCACAGGTCAGACCTCGCAGGAGCGCCTTCTCGATGTCATCGGCGACGCACGCAGTCAGGGCGACGCTCCGCCCCTGAGGATTGCAGGCGCTGGCGCCCGCTTCGCTGCCCCCGCGAGCGTCTCCGGGGCTCCAGCGCCCGTGTCACGGAAGCCCTTCATCGCCGTGCGGCACCGGGTGGTCCTGGCAGTCTTGCCGCCTGATCCCTTCTGGTGCTTGCACTTGAAGACATGTCTGGAACCCATTGCATTTCGGGCGCCCTGAAAAAGCCGCCTCTCAGAATTCTGAGCTCTCGCGACCTCCTTCGACAGCCTCGACACTTCTTCGTTGGACAGGGGACCGGCGTCGCGCATGACGACCGCTGTCTCAAATGCGGCATGGACGTCAAGCGCAGCTGTCTGAGGAGCGCGGGCGGCGCGGGCGCCAATCGCAGCCGTCTGCAGGGCGACGGCGACACAGTCGCTGGACGCGAAGGCCAGGGGTCCTCACAGGCGTTGCAGCAGTCGCCGTGGATACTTGCCCCGGATTTTCTCCTCCTCGTCAGCGCATTGGGCGTCTGATTCCGTCGCGTCTCTGGGGGGCTCACGGTGCTCGGGGCATCCCGCGAAACAGTCGCGGCAATGCTCTTCGTACGACGCGCGGTCACTGTTCTGGACGCCACCAAGTACACTATCGTCGAGAGGAATGCGCATCGGGATCCCGCCCTGCCCGGCTGGCGGGCCTGGGTAGGCAAAGCGAAGGGTCGGACCCCGAGGCGCGGCGCCTCCGAGCGATGGCGCCCCAGTCGTCATGTCCCCCACTGCATCCCCGCCAGGCACCGGCGACACGGTCGCCGAATGCCTCTCCTCTGCTTCCTTCCCCACGGGCTCTCGAGACACAGCCCCGAAGATCTCGAGACCTTTGTTCTGACACCGCAAATGTGAGCGTTGTGTCGAGCAGCTGTCTAATACCAGCGGCTACCCCCACACGCGGGGGCACTGCCCATTTGGGGTCCACCAGCTGCCCGGACACAATCCGCGCGTGCCCAGAACGGGTCACAGAGCGGTCCTTGTAGATTTTGGTGGTGCTGTCCTTGATGGGGTATTGGTTGTCTTTGGTGGTGTCGTCCTCGACGAAGTACTGGATGTGCATGTTCCGGGTCACTGAACTTGGCGAGTGGGCTCTTGCAGCCCCGACGTGCCCTAAAGCAGCGTTTCCCGCCAAGGCGACGGGGAGGCCCCCAGTCGCTGAGCTTGGCGGGCAGGCCGTTGCAACCCTGACGTGCCCTAAAGCAGCGTCACCTGCCAAAGCGATGGGGAGGAAACGCACGAAAGCGATGATGTTGAAGGCGGTGATGTTGAAGTGGTTCCTTGTACATGTCGTACTTCTTGAGGTCGTCTAAGGCGATGAGAGTGGGATGCCGGCGCAGCCGATGCCTGGCGAGACATGGCGGCCGTGGTGGGAGCAGGGGCGAACCTGTTCAGCTAGCAACTACAAAAATGGATGTAAAGGGTGAAAGAAAAACTCGTTCTGCAGGCGGACACGCAGAACGCGGGTCGAAGGCGGAGGTTTTTAATCACGGATGTTCAACCACGGGCAAGGGAGCACTGCAGGCTCCTGTGCCCTGGGCCCAAACTACGGCGGGCTGGCTGGGCGAGAGGAAGCGTAGCAGGGGACCTACCGTTCGACCAGGGGGAGGAGGAGGAGGAGGAGGAGGAGGAGGAGGAGGAGGAGGAGGAGGAGGAGGTGGACCAGTTCAAACCCAAGAGTCACTAGCGATGTTGCAACCTGTGGCGTCCAAAGCCCAGATAGCGGAGCAGTCCAACTCGCGCGAAGCGTATCTGGGAAACGTATGCAAGGACGCTTGAGAGGATACCTGGGGAGCCTACAAGTTTGAGAAAAGAGCTTACCAGGAACTCCCCAGGAGCTTCGAAAGAGCTACGCAAAAGTTTCTGGCACGCGCATTGGGAACGAGTTGGAAACGCCTTCGGGACACGCTGCAAGTTCAAGCAACCCGCTGCGAGTCTGCTTGAGCGGCGTTGGAAAATGCTCTCGGGCCACCCTCCGCTGAAGGCTCCTGGGCCCCCTTACCTCTCGCAGAGCTATCCGGGAGTAGACCCTCCCTCCAAGCTCCCCCTTCCTGGGCCCCTACAGGCCTTCATTGTTTACTGAAGGGAGCGCCACTTCAGAAAATTACCCCAGTGCGACCCTACCTAGAAGTTGGAGCCCCTAGGAAAGCAGCATGAGTTGCTACGCTATGCTATGCCATGATATGCTGCGCTATGCTATGCTATGCCATGCTATGCTATGATATGATGCGCTCTGCTATGTTGTGCTATGGTATGCGATGCTATGATATGGTAAGCTATGCTATGTCATGCTGCGATGTGCGATACTAAGCTATGGTATGATATGATGTGCTATGCTAAGCTGCGCTGTGCTATGATATGCTATGTTATGAAATGATATGCTATGCTATGCTGCGCTATGCTACATTATGCTATGATATGACTGGCTATGTCATGCTATGATATGGTATGCTAACGCAGCGCTGCGCTAAGCTAAGCTAAGCTAAGCTAAGTTAAGCTAACCCTCTAGGCAGAGCCTATGTAGGCTGTGCTCTGCTATGCTGTGCTCTGCTATGCTATGCTATGCTGTGCTCTGCCGTGCTAAAGCTCAGCGAAGCTAAGACGAAGGTAAGCTAAGCTAAGATAAACCTGAGCTAAGTCGAAGCTAAGCTAAGCTAAGCTAAGATGAAATAAGCTAAGCTAAGACGAGATAAGCAACGCTAAGCTAAAGGGACGTAACTGAAGAACCGCGGGGCGGATACCGGGGGAACCGCCCGGGGCGGTTTGCACTGCCCGGCCCCTTTAAAGAAAGAGAATAACAACACTCTAGGCTGAGCCTAGGTAGGGAACAACCAATTGAAAATCCTGAACTGTGCCAGAAACTTCGACGCAACGAATCACCGTCGTCATTGTTGCGTCTTGACGGTCCTGAATCGTGCCAGAACACATTTTCTGGGACTGCAACACCACGAATCAACGTGACTGTTGCGCCCCGAAAATCCTACATCGTGCCAGAACACCATTTATGGGCCGTTAACCACGAGACATATAGAAGCCGCTGTAAGCTCGTATGACGAATGCGCGCAGCGCTAAAGCGAGAACCACATTCTGAAAAGAAGCCGCCCTCCGTCCGTGAAGCTGCTGCAATTTCGTATGACGACTGTGCGCAGCACTACGGCGAGAGCCACGGTTTGAAAACAACACGTCCTCTATCCGTGAAGTTGTTCAAAGCTATACAAAGGAAATGCACGCGGCGCTGAGGCGAGTGCCACGTTTGAAAAACGGTCTCTACTCTACTCAAACGTGAAACTCTTGTAAATGTTCGAAGCGGATTTGCGCGGCGTTACGGCGAGATCCATGTTTTGAAAACCACCCGCACTCCATCCGTGAAGTTGTTGCAAATCCTACGCTTCGGGATCATATATGGTGAGGAGGTCTCAGGCGAAACGCCCGGCCCGCCCTCCCGAATGGCCTCGGGGCGCGACAGGCAGTTATGCATAAGGAAGAGGAACGGAAGAGGAGGGTGTGGAGAAAGAGGGGTTGGAGGAGAAGGAGGAGGAGGAGAAGGAGGAGGAGGGGGGCAAGGGGTAACCCAGGTAGGAGGAGGAGAAGAAGGAGGAGGAGGAGGACGCGAGGAGGAGGGGAAGGGGGAGCAGAATGAGGATTTGCCGCTGCGCTGCTATGCCATGTTTCATAGCAGTCCTCCTGGCGGCCAGCCAGGCAATCGTCGAGCCCGACATTTGAGACGCGGCAAGCGCAGGAGACATCCGTGCACGCTGGGCCGCCTGCAAACATGGCAAGCCACACGACAGGGCCATACCCCCGTGGCCTCGGGCGTCAATCAAATAGCCGAACCACGCTGACAGCATCCACGCCGAGCCAACACACAATCGCTCTTCGGGTGCCGACCAGCAATGATACGGTTTCAGTAATGTTGTGACGAACGAGGGCAGCGCGGTTGGCCATTGCAGTTCAAGCTCCAATACCGCACAGACCCACCCGTCGAGAAAGCCTTGCACTTCAGGCGGATACAAAGAGCACTGTCATCTGCACAAGAAAGAACGATGCACTTGTGGCCAAGCTCTATGAGCTTAGTGTCAGAAAGCTTGTGGGTCGTGGTGCAGATACTGTTTGGGGGGGCAACAAGACCTAGCGGCCCCCAAACATTGCTTGCACTGCCAGAACTCGTTCCTCCACACTCAGGAATGGCGGACCTTGGGAACGGTCACGAAGGGCTCCCGCTGCTCACGCATGGCCTTAGAGAGGTCACACGCTGGCCACCGCTGGAGCAATCTGGCAGCAATCAAACAAACTTTCCTGGCGATCGAGAATGCTCGGTCGAGGCACTCGGTCTGCTCGGGGCTCGGCCTCTCGAGGGCAGGCGCCCCGAGCTTGGCATAGTGATCGGCGAGGCCGTTGCCTGCCTTGCAGAACCGCGAGTGGTCGTCCACCGCAGCCTGCTCCTCGGTCATGCGCCCCTTCGCCTTAAACATCTGCCCCATCTTGGAGTCAGCCGTCCAAACAAATATGCCAGCATGCACACGCCTGAAAGACAACTGCTCGGGTCTGGGGAGAGCCCACAGCTGAACCACATTCTGGCAGTCACTGAAACCAACGGACTGCTCGAGAGCGTTCTGACAGGCGGCCGTGCACGCTGCAAACTCGCCTGCCTGAGCTGTCTGCGGGATGGGGAGAGCGAGGGGAGCGCACACGTGACCCAACTCCTGCCCAGAATCGGATACCGCAACATACGCCCACCCCGTCCGCGACAACTCTCTGATGACGGAGCGGATGCACGAACCGTCCATGAATAGATTGACCCGAACAAGATAATCATCTCGTCCTAGGTCGCAAGCATGATGTACTGTGGGCTCAGCTCTGGTAGGGGGAGGGAAGAAGTCACCAGGATGAGATATAATCCCAAGAGTGTGGGCAGGAGAGGTAGGAGGAGGACGAGGAGGAGGAGGAGGAGGAGGAGGAGGAGGAGGAGGAGGAGGGGAGCAGGAGGACGGAGGAGGAGGAGGACGAAAAAGAGTAGAGGGAGAAGGAGGAGACGGAGGAGACGGAGTGTGAGGAGAGGAGAGGAGAGGAGGAGGAGGAGGAGGAGGAGGAGGAGGAGGAGGCGGAGGCGGAGGGGGAGGAGGAGGATGATATGGAGGAGAATGATCAGGAGGAAGATGAGAAGGAGGAGGAAGAGGAGGAGGAGCCTACCCAACCCACCCACCCCTCTCCCTGACGTCTCCCCTGATCTGAGCTCCTCGCCCTCGCCGCCGCGCGCCTCGCCCGCGCCGCCCTCCACCAGCCAGGAGCTCGAGTCGAGCTCCCCCCCACGGGCCGAGTCCAACGGCGTCGCCGCGCCTCCGGGCGCGCCGATCGGCGTCGCCGCCCGCGGCGAGGCCGCGCCGCTGCGCAGCAGGGTCTCCTCGACGGCCAAGGGGGCGTGGAACACCTGGGGGGGGGCGATGAACCTCCTCCTCTTCCGGCTCCTGCACCTTCTCCTCCTCCACCTCCACCTCTCCCGCCTCCTCCTCCTCCTCCTCCTCCTCCTCCTCCTCCTCCTCCTCCTCCTCCTCGTCTTCCTCCTCGTCTTCCTCCTCCTCCTCCTCCTCCTCCTCCTCCTCCTCCTTCTCCTCCTCCTCCTCCTCCTCCATTCTTTTTCTTTATGAACAACTTTTCCCTGTCGCACCCCGAGAGCTGTTTTTAAGGCAGGCGGGGTGCTTCGCCTGTGGGTCTTTTCAAAATTTGGCTCTCGCCTTGACACCGCGCACAGCCGTTTCAAAATTTGCAAGCGTCTCACGGATGGAGGGCGGCTCCATTTCAAAATGTGGCTCCCGCCTTGGCGCCGCGCACATTCGTCAACAATTTCGGCAAGAGTTCCATGGATGCCCATAAACAAAATACTAGGATTAGCGTTTTGGAAAGATTCCGGATTATGAAGGTGCAAAAGTTACGTTCACTCACGGTGCTGAAATCCCAGGAATGGCCTTCTGGCACGGTTCAGGACCGTCAAAAAACAACAGGCAATGATCCGTGGCGTTGGAATCCCGAGAGCAATGTTCTGGCATGCTTCCCGGTCTTCTAACGGTTGTCTTTCAACGAGGCAGTTCCATCAATGGAATTGAAGGGAGTTTGGAGGGAAGGTGTGTTCCGACACCGCTGATGACTCTTAGATTTACACTGGTCCTCCTCCTGCTCCTCCTCCACCTCCTCCTCCTCCGCTCCTTTTCCTTACAAATGGCACCGGAGAAAAACATAACCAAAGCCTTTCTAAGGGCTATAGGGCTATGGGGCTATTGGGCTATAGGGCGATGGGGCTATGGGGCTATAGGGCTATGATGCTATAGGGCTATGGGGCCATGGGACTATAGGTCTATCGGGCTACAGGGCTATAGGGCTATACGGCTTTAGGACTATAGGACTATAGGGCTGTAGGGCTATAGGGCTATGGAGCCATGGGGCTCTGGGGCTATGGGGCTATAGGGTTATAGGGCCATAGGGCTATGAGTCAATAGGGCTATGGGGCTATAGGGCTATAGGACCATAGGGATATAGGGCTATAGGGATGTAGGACTATCGGGCTATAGGGCTATAGGGCTATAGGGCTATAGGCATATAAAGCTATAGGGCTATAGAGCTATAGCGCTGTTGGGCTATAGGACTATAAGGCTACAAGGCTGTAGGGCTATAGGGTTATAGGGATATAATGCTATAGGGCTATAGGGCTGTAGAGCTATAGGGGTATAAGGCTATAGGCTATAGGGCTATAGGGCTATGGGGTTATAGGGCTAAAGGGCTCTGGGGTTATGGGGCTACGAAAATTGGGAGGTGAGATCGAAGTGGACCGGAGATCCCCCCTACCAGGAAATCGATTTCGGTTTCGTGTTCGTGCCGTGCGTGCGGGCGAGGCGAAGCTGCGTGGGCGGGGGAGAGGAAATTCTCCTGTGGCTGGGCCGCGGCTGGACCATAAGGTTCTCCGCCCGGCAACCAGTGGCACGCGGTGTCCCGCCGGTGTCCCGCCGGTGTCCCGCTGGTGTCCCGCCGGTGTCCCGCCGGTGTCCCGTCGTGGCTGGGCCGCGGCCGGACCAAAAGGTTCTCCGCCCGGCAACCGGTGGCGCGCGGCGTCCCGCCGGTGTCCCGCTGGTGTCCCGCTGGTGTCCCGCCAGTGTCCCGTCGTTGTCCCGTGGTGTCCCGTGGTGAGATCGACAGTGAGATCGCTAGTGAGATCGATAGGAGATCGACAATGAGACCGATAGTAAGATCGATAGTGAGATCTATAGTGAGAGATCGACAGTGAGATCTATATTGAGATCGATCGTGATATCGATAGTGAGATCGATAGTGAGACCGATAGTGAGATCGATCTAGTGGGATCGATAGCGAGATCGATAGTGGAATCGATAGTGAGATCAATAGTGAGATCGAAAGCGAGATCGATAGTGAGATCGATAGCGAGATCGATAGTGATATCGATAGTGGGATGGATAATGAGATCGACAGTGAGATCGATTGTGTCCCATCGGTGTCCCGACGTAAACAACTCGACACCAAGGCTCCCAAGAGCGAGCGGCAACGCAACGATCTCCACTGGCATCGTCAGAACAACAATCACCACTGTTGCCCATTGCAGGTTTTCTCCCCCCCAAACCTCCTTTTCACCCGCAGGGTGGTCGTATAGGTAGGGCTATTGGACTATAGGGCTATCGGAAATTGGGGGGGGAGATCGAAGTGGAACTGAGAGCCCCCCTACCGGGAAATCGATTTCGGTTTCGTGTTCGTGCCGTGCGTGCGGGCGAGGCGAAGCTGCGTGGGCGGGGGAGAGGAAATTCTCCTGTGGCTGGGCCGCGGCTGGACCATAAGGTTCTCCGCCTGGTAACCAGTGGCACGCGGTGTCCCGCCGGTGTCCCGCCGGTGTCCCGCTGGTGTCCCGCCGGTGTCCCGCCGGTGTCCCGTCGTGGCTGGGCCGCGGCCGGACCAAAAGGTTCTCCGCCCGGCAACCGGTGGCGCGCGGTGTCCCGCCGGTGTCCCGCTGGTGTCCCGCTGGTGTCCCGCTGGTGTCCCGCTGGTGTCCCGTCGTTGTCCCGTGGTGTCCCGTGGTGAGATCGACACTGAGATCGACAGTGAGATCGATAGTGAGATCGATAATGAGACCGATAGTGAGATCGATAGTGAGATCTATAGTGAGAGATCGACAGTGAGATCTATATTGAGATCGATCGTGATATCGATAGTGAGACCAATAGTGAGATCGATAGTGAGATCGATCGAGTGGGATCGATAGCGAGATCGATAGTGGAATCGATAGTGAAATGAATAGTGAGATCGAAAGCGAGATCGATAGTGAGATCGATAGCGAGATCGATAGTGAGATCGGTAGTGGGATGGATAGTGAGATCGACAGTGAGATCGATTGTGTCCCGTCGGTGTCCCATCGGTGTCCCGACGTAAACAACTCGACACCAAGGCTCCCAAGAGCGAGCGGCAACGCAACGATCTCCACTGGCATCGTCAGAACAACGATCACCACTGTTGCCCATTGCTGGCCCCTCCCCCCCCCAACCTCCTTATCACCCGCAGGGTGGTCGTATAGGTAGGGTGTTAAGGCTATGAGGCTATAGGACTATAGGGCTATAGGGCTATAGGGCTATCGGAGGTGAGGGGGTGAGATCGAAGTGAAAAGGAGAGCCCCCCTACCGGGAAATCGATTTCGGTTTCGTGTTCGTGCGTGCCGTGCGCGCGGGCGAGGCGAAGCTGCGTGGGCGGGCGAGAGGAAAGTCTCCTGTGGCTGAGGCGCGGTCGGACCAAATGTGTCTCTTCCGGGCGGCCGGTGGCGCGCGGTGTCCCGCTGGTGTCCCGCTGGTGTCCCGTCGGTGTCCCTGTGGCTGAGGCGCGGCCGGACCAAATGTGTCTCTTCCGGGCGGCCGGCGGCGCGCGGTGTCCCGCCGGTGTCCCGCCGTGTCCGCGGTGTCCCGCGGTTCCCGCGGTGCCCCGCGGTGTCCCGCCGGTGTCCCGCGGTGTCCCGCGATGATGATGATGATGATGATGATGATGATGATGATGATGATGATGATGATGATGGTGATGCAGATGATGATGATGCTGCTGATGATGATGATGATGATGACGATGATGATCATGATGATGGTGATGGTGATGATGATGATGAAGATGATGATGAGGACGATGATGATGATGATGATGATATGATGATGATGGTGTCCCGATGATGATGATGATGATGATGATGATGATGATGATGTCGATGATGATGATGACGATGATGATGATGATGATGCTGATGATGTCCCGATGATGAGGATGATGATGATCATGATGATTATGTTGATGATCATGATAATGACGATGATGGTGTCCCGATGATGATGAGTATGATGATGTTGATGTTGATGATGCTGATTATGATTGTGTCCCGATGATGATGATGATGATGATGATGATGATGAGGTTGATGATGATTATGGCATCCCGATGATGATGATTATTATGATGGTGATGATGATGTTGATGATGATGGCGTCCCGATGGTGATGATGATGATGTTGATGCTGATGTTGATAATGATGATGATGGTGCCCCGATGATGACGATGATGATGATGATGCTGATGGTGATGTTGATGATGCTGATGATGATGTCGATGATGAGGATGAGATGATGATGATGTCCCGATGATGATGATGATGATGATGATGGTGATGATGATGATGATGACTGATGTGTCCCGATGCTGCTGATGATGATGATGATGTTGATGATGATGATGACTGTGATGATGATGATGATGATGATGATGATGGTGGTGGTGTCCCGATGATGTTGATGACCGTGATGATGATGATGTTGGTGTTGATGATGAGGACGGTGTCCCGATTATGATGATGTTGGTGATGATGAGGTTGATGTTGATGTTGTTGTTGATGATGATGACGTTGATTGTGATAGCGGTTGTGATATCGATAGTGAGATCGATAGTGAGACCGAATGTGATATCGATTGTGAGATCGATTGTGAGATCGATTGTGAGATCGATAGTCAGATCAATTGTGAGATAGATCGAGTGAGATCGATTGTGAGATCGATCGAGGGAGATCGATCGAGCGAGACCGATACTGAGATCGATAGTGAGATCGATAGTGAGACCGATCGAGTGAGACGTTGGTTCCTCCCCCCCCCCCGAACCTCCTTATCACCCGAAGGGTGGTCGTATAGGTAAGGGTATAGTGCTATAGGGCTATAGGGCTGTTGGTCTATAGGGCTCTAGGGCTATTGGGCTATGGGGCTATAGGGCTACCGGGCTATGGGGCTATAGGGCTGTAGGGCTGTAGGGCTATAGGGCTACAGGGCTAGAAAGCTACAGGACTACAGGGCCACAGGGCTATAGGGCTATAGGGCTAGAATGCACCCAGGCAGGCCGCGGAAATCGGTGACAAA